CAAATTTCTTCTTTGGATATTTCATGTATGTAGACATATTAAGGTTACTGATGCAAACTCCCCTAGACTTCAGGCCTGTCACAATCTGATGCCTTGGCATCAACCTTTTCTCCAAACTGCACAACAAAATATCTGGCCGAAGTGCAAGATGAGATGGAGCACATCCTGCTTCATTTACCAAGAACTCCATCTTCCTCTGCAAACTCTTTAAAGATAATTGCACAAACGTAGGAGCCTTTCTGAATGCAGCAAGGAAATCATCCTCGGACCACCCGAAGCCCTTGAAGAACTCCAAGTGAGCCTTGAAGTTCTTCTCGGAGACGCTCAGGAGCACACTCAGGATCAGGAGGAACATCCTCGAGGTGCGAGGTACTCCCAAACCCTCGACACGACTGATTAACGCCTTCAGGGTTTCAGCATTCCGGGTTATAAGGAGGGGATATTGCGGTATGATCATTGAGAGCTTCTGATCCGTGATCCCGCAATCCCTTAGAATTTCAATGCTAGGCTGGATCGTCTTCTCGAAGCTATACCCGAGAAACCACCTGTTTCTCTTCCATATCTTCATCAGTAAGTCGTTGGACCCCAGGAGGCCTTGCCATAATTGGATCTTGGACAAGATGTTCTGGGATTTGTGGCTGATGACGTGGTTATTCGATCTGACGAGGTGGGTGATGTCGGAGCAGGAGAAGCCCAGATCCTGCAAAGCTCGGAACTTTGGGGCCAGGGTCTTCTCCACGTCGAGGAGAAGCCACCGGGGGTTTGTAGATATGACCTTTTTCACCTGGGTGTTGTCAAAACCGTAGCTTTTAAATAAGCCAAGGACGGAGTCAGGCTGGTGGCGGGATTCGACGTGGCCAAGGAGCTTCGAGGCTTTGGCCGCCTGATCAGGATCGAAGCCACAGGAGCTGACCAGGTATTCAGCCATAAGGCTGCTCTGTGGAGCACCGGAGGCGGCGGAGTAAGAATGGGTTGCGAGAAAATGGGCAGCATCGGCCGGACGACAGCAAGGGACGAAGGCATGGGCTTTGGACAAGAGAGAGACGTAGGGCGACCTATTCATCAATGTCATCGTCTTCTTCTTCTTCTTTGTAGGTTCCTTCGCTTTCCCAAAACCTAGCGAAGGTGGCGTAGCTGCGTATAGAAGAGCGCGTTTAGGCCGGAAGTACCTGCGTCTTAAACCCTATAAGTGCGTTACCGTGTTCGAGAATTTTTTTTCGGGCGGAGATTACTGCGACCGCAGGCGTCTTTTTTTTTGCTTCGTCAACTTTTAGTTTGTTGAGGGGAGAAAAAACTTTTATTGCGTGCCAACTAAAGATAATAAAAGGTGTTCTCTTAGAAAAAAATTGCACTATTATTTTTTTATCGGATAGCATCCCTATATTTATTTTTATCTAGGGTTTATTTTTTATAGTATGAACAAAAATATACCCTTAATCTTCTATTAAAAATGACTTGATCAGCTATTAAAAAATTGATAATTAATTATCATAATTAAAAAAAAAAAAAAAAAGAACTATGCTAATCATTTTAAAATCAATAGATATGCATCGAAGATGATTAATATCTATTTTTTATTTTAGTTTTTTTTATAATTAATTATCAAATTATAATTTATTTAAATAATATCTATGATTAAGTCACATAAGCAAAAAATATAAGAGTGTTTTTTGTCTAAATAAAAAAAACCTAAGTAAAAATGAATATGGAAGGTTTCATCAATAAAAAAAAATAATACTAGAATTTTTTCTTTTATAAAAGACCCAACATGCATGAATTACTGCTAGAAATCAACTTATTCATCATAAAATTTGATGGATTAATACCTATGCTACTCTAATTATCAAGTTTAAGTCAACAATAAAATGTTCATGTAATCTTAAATATCATCATAAGCATCAACTATTTATGATATGAATGGCAAAATTGCTCATTGTTCACTTGAGAATCTACTCAATAGATTTTTATCAAATAGGGAACTGATAGAGACTCGCAAACACGTCAACTATCTTGCTACTTAGAATTGCTACAAACATATGCTATCTATGAAACAAAGCCTCAAGCAACTTCTATCTAGAAATTAATAGTAATTAGATGATCATGTTCACCATAAAAATAGAAAGTCATTCATCTCACAATTATTAACTTATTATATCCATACTAAGATTAAGAAGGTGCATCCTGATTTAGAATTGATTATATTTGATTAACATATTGACAAGCATTATAATTAGTATAAATATCCTTTTACGGAATTAAATAGTTTGAGTAATATATCTCACCTTTATAAAGGTTTCTTCTCACTCTTTATTATTTTTCAGTATTGGAGAATTATTCTCTCATATTAAGGGATTTATACTTGATCTAGCTAGCTCTTTATGCAAAGTAACTCAAAACATCTTTTCAATTTGTCATATCAAAATTGTTAGAATACAGGACTCTTTATAATTGAATAAGATATATAATAAAATTAATTAGATTTTGATTACGAATATTAATCTATAAAAAGGAATATCAAACTATGGGCAAAGATAGAGAATATATGAGCTAAGTAGGAGAATATCAAAATATGTGACCCTTTATAATTGAATAAGATATATAATAAAATTGATTGAATTCTGATAACGGATATTAGCCAGTATAAAGGATATTCAGATTATAGTATGATTTCTTAAGGGACGCTCTTGATAGGAGAAACTCTCCTAATTACTTATCATTGATCCTCAACTCTCACCTATAAATATATCGGACCTCCTAGGGGCTAATGACATGATGTTTATATGATGTGACGGTCATGGACACATACACGTGGACACATACACGAGATACTATATGTGACATTGAGAGATTACGATTCTTTTTTCATCCTCTCTTGTCTCTGAAACATTAATAACTATAGTCTTGTGAAAAGGTAGAAAGAGATGAATGTTTGGTTCTCCTTGTATATCGACATTTGATAGAGACGATTTTGCCCTACGCCAACTCATCTGTCACAAGGCCGACACCTATGGAGAGTTCCAGATCACCAGCTCCGAAATGGCACCATAGTGTATTCTGATAACCACCCTACCTTATTAAGATCAAAAAATGATCAAGTGATTTAACTAATCTTATCCAAGGCTAACCAGTAAAATGACTAGGGAATAACTAGCCAACCAGAAAAATGTCGAACACGGTAACGCACTTCTAGGGTTTAAGACGCAGGTACTTCCGGCCTAATCGCGCTCCTCTATACGCAACTACGCCACCTTCGCTAGGTTTTGGTAAAGAGAAGGAACCTACGAAGAAGAAGAAGAAGACGATGACATTGATGAATAGGTCGCCCTACGTCTCTCTCTTGTCCAAAGCCCTTGCCTTCGTCCCTTGCTGTCGTCCGGCCGATGCTGCCCTTTTTCTCGCAACCCATTCTTACTCCGCCACCTCCGGTGCTCCACAGAGCAGCCTTATGGCTGAATACCTGGTCAGCTCCTGTGGCTTCGATCCAGATCAGGCGGCCAAAGCCTCGAAGCTCCTTGGCGGCGTCGAATCCCGCCACCAGCCTGACTCCGTCCTTGGCTTATTTAAAAGCTACGGTTTTGACAACACCCAGGTGAAAAAGGTCATATCTGCAAACCCCCGGTGGCTTCTCCTCGACGTGGAGAAGACCCTGGCTCCAAAGTTCCGAGCTTTGCAGGATCTGGGCTTCTCCTGCTCCGACATCACCCACCTCGTCAGATCGAATAACGACGTCACCAGCGACAAATCCGAGAACATCTTGTCCAAGATCCAATTATGGCAAGACCTCCTCGAGTCCAACGACTTTTTGGTAAACTTGTGCAAGAAAAACAGGAGGTTTCTCGGGTATAGCATCGAGAAGACGATCCAGCCTAACATTGAAATTCTAAGGGATTGCGGGATCACGGATCAGAAGCTCTCAATGATCATACGGCACCGCCCCCTCCTTATAACCCGGAATGCTGAAACCCTGAAGGCGTTAATCAGTCGTGTCGAGGGTTTGGGAGTACCTCGCACCTCAGGGATCTTCCCCCTTACCCTGTGTGTGCTCCAGAGAATCACCGAGAAGAACTTCAAGGCTCACTTGGAGTTCTTCAAGGGCTTCGGGTGGTCCGAGGATGATTTCCTTGCTGCATTCAGAAAGGTTCCTACGCTTGTGGGATTATCTTTAAAGAGTTTGCAGAGGAAGATGGAGTTCTTGGTAAATGAAGCCGGATGTGCTCCATCTCATCTTGCTCTTCGGCCAGATATTTTGTTGTGCAGTTTGGAGAAAAGGTTGATGCCAAGGCATCAGATTGTGACAGGCCTGAAGTCTAGGGGAGTTTGCATCAGTAACCTTAGTATGTCTACATACGCGAAATATCCAGAGAAGAAATTTGTGGAGAAGTTCGTCAACCGCTACAAGGAGTATCCAGAACTCATTGAGTTGTATAATGGAGTCCCCAAAAACAGAACTGCATTTGATCGTGGAAATGCATAATGCATAGCACAAACTTTTGTACCAGCAAGTTATGTTTCCAGGTTCCAATTTTCCACTATCCGCATAACATGATCTACAGTTTGCGACCAAATAATTCCTGCCATTTACTTCGTTTTCTGTGAATGTAAGATGAGTTTGGATGCTTACACGTAGTAAGAAAATGAAGAATGTTGAGAAGATTTGTGATGATATTGCCGATAGAGTTAATTGCTTGTTGATAATCACTTGTGTAGACGCCACATGGAATTGTTATTCTTGTCCCATTCGTTTTAAGTCTACTGGAAGATATCAGACTTATGTAGGTTATTGGACACGTGAAGTTTTGATTGATTTAACTATGGATATTTGCTAAGTTAGGTTTCGAGTTTTGGTTATTTTTTCAAATGATAAGAAGTAGGATTCTTTTGGATGGTATGGTAGGATGCTTTGGTGATTTTGAGCTGGATGATGAGGCTTTTGATTTAGGGCAAGGGTTGGTCACCTTTTATATAAATTTACTAAAGTCCCTCATATCCTAAACCAAACCGAAAACCCAAAAAAGGTAGATGAGGTTGCGTTTCAATTTTTTGTATATTTTGTTTATCAAACTTTGTTCTCTTTCTTAAGTGATTAGTTTGAACCACTTCTTTCCTCTTGCTGATCGGTCAATTCAGTTGAAATTTCTCTCTTTATAAGTGCAAAACCTTAATGAATACCAGGTTGCCACCATGATAGTTTGAAGCTGACTGTCTTCTTGAGAATGAAGTTGTAACTCTTAGATTTATGAAGGAAACCACACTTTCCGTATTGACAATGTTTTGTTCTCAATTTAAGCACTGGAATGTACAAGTTGTCCTTTACCAATTTAAGCATTTTAGTACGGGGGTGGTCTAAACTTCATGCACTTCAGCTCAGACAGGCCAACTCCATGTGGTCCTGCCTTTGAGACCAAGTTCCACGTGGCTGCCTAAGGGCCTGCCCATTAAGACTGCTAGGGACTGGTTTGCAATGTAATGAAGAAATGATTGTAAATTTCAAGGACTGAATTGTAAATCGATAATAACTTTTTTGAACTCTGTATCCAATTTGGATGAGCAATATAGTGTTAGGTGCCTCATAAAACCTAGATTCTCTGTATGCTGATGTGATGAAATTTTAATATGCTGTTATTAGTTCATATTTCTTTTGGCAATAAATTTTATATTGATGCGTCTATTTTAGCCTATAATTGACGCATATTAATATTTGTTAGAAGTGCCATGATGCATAAGTTGGATGCTTGAGTATGTGAAAGGTTGTTGTTGCATGGTTGTGCAGCATGTTGATATATACATATATGGATGATTGAACAACATTGTCATTATTCGTAGGCAATTTTGAAAGGGATTAGTAGTCGTCAAACAAGCTTATAAGATATTCCTTGCATCTATAGAAATGCGTATTTCGACTGTTGCCGGGCACCACTTGATCCTAGTAATGGACTAATAGCAGGTAATGTGATATGAATTTAGTCTATAAGGAGGTAGCTTCATCCCTCGGACGAGTTCCGATGCAGCAAAGTGCACTGATGGATGTGCTTTTCTCATGATGAATTTGTGAGATCTTTTATCCTAATTTATGCTCTTTTTTCATTATTATTCTTATCTTTAGCTGATTGCGTGGGACACAACTAGATTTCTTGACGTCTTGTTTCTACTAAGATAATCCCTATCGATCTGAAAAGTACATATTTCAGATGATCCGTAGCTGGGTAGCTAAGGATTGAGAATTTTTCAGTTCTAGCAATGTGAAGATTGTTATCTGATATTTAATAAAAGCACAGTTAGATGTGTACGCCAGTAATAATGATGAGACTTGATGGGATGCATTTTCCATTATTGTCAATGAATATTATTATTGTGCTCTGTGCGTTACAGATGTCTGGATCATAAGTTTACGGAGGGTGCGATCCTCTCATTTTTTTGGTTGGGTCATATTGAGTGTTCGGTGCATAAAATGTTCTTATCAATCAAAAGTGCTTGATTGTTAGCTCCATTTACAGGGTGTTTGGTGCAAAAGAAGTGGATTAGCAGTGATCTTGGAAATTGATATTTTAGTAGGTGTTACTGTCCAGAGGTTGTCTTGTATCGATCATAAATTGTTCTTATCAATAAAAAATACTTGGGGTGTTAGCTCCATTTGCGGAGTGTTTGGTGCAAAAGAAGTGGATTAACAAGGTTCTTGGAAATTGCTCTTTTAGTATGTGTTACCTTCCAGAGGTTGGCATCTGCAGTGTGCTAGTTTGATTACATTAGTAAGTATATGTTGAACAAATTGGAAAAGGAAATATAATTCTAGGAGTTACTTTGCTAGGGAGAATTCAACCATTGCCGGCCTTCAGGTAATGAAAGAGAAATGAGACTTGCTGACTTCTTGTAGGCCAATTTCTCCCTTCCCAAAATGTATTTTGTCCGCTGTCAGATGACACCAATTTCAGCCTTCTTGAAATGTTTTTTACCCACACTCAGACTGAAGTCAAGATATTTCTAACAGTTAGAATCTTTGGTTATATTTATGATATGTAGTTATACTGGTTTATGTACTATGAAAATCCACATTTCAACTTTTTTGGCTTTTGCTACTATATGTTTCTTTTGCATCCTTTGTTCGGTGTCTTATTTTTGTCAAAGCTGTAATAGCTATCAAACAAAAAGTTGATCTGGAAGTCTAGTTAATATGTCAAATTATGCAGGTTGTTTTTTATGTTACAAACTTGTGCTTCAATGTGACAATAGAGCATCTCTAAATTTATTGCCTAATAGCAACATGTAATCTCGAATTTGATTCCACCCTTGGTTCTCCAGATTCTTATATAGTATAGCATGCTAGTCTCAGCCATTCGTCCTATTTTTAATCTTTTGGTGTGTTCCTTTTCTAAAGACTTTGTTGTATTGTTTTCTCTGTACAAATACATCAAAATAATCTTCCAATCTTTTGCGTTGAGCTTTTTCTTATGTATTCATACATTATTGGCCTTGTAGAATTAACTGCAGTGTCTCTGGCAGGCACGTACTTGGTCAAATTAAACTGAAGCACTGCTTACTCTTGTTGAGTTATCGGGATCAAGGGAAGTTTTAGTTGACTTGCACCCTAACGCATGTTGATCATCGTAGAGATGTTAGGTAAACAGGAGTTCGGAGGAGAGGAACTCTCTTGATGCTGCAAAGTCTAGAAGACCCTAGTAAACAAGTGAGCAAAAGTTTTCGGGTGATTTCGAAGATGTCTCACTTTTTTTATTATTATTTTCCTAAAAGATGTCTCATATTTCTCAAATGATACCTTCTATTTTGAATAATACTGAAAGTATTTCTTACCAGCCTCAATGATATTTTTCCCACTAGTTTCATAGATACCTTATAGACCGATATATCGGTGTTTGAATCCAAGTTGATGGATTGGTTTGTACAGTAGCATGATCTGATTTATATGATTTACACAATAGTTTGGTCATCAAAATGAGAATCAAAAATTAATTTTTATAGTATTTTGATTATCATAATAAAAATATTATAAATAACCCGAATAGATTCAGTCAAACTAACTACACATTTACGATCAACGATAATCAAAGATTTTTCAATTGCTTTACACCTTATAAAAACACTATAATGTTATTTAAAAAATACTATAACTGAGAAATCCAAACATACTACAAACCATTTGATATATCATATATTTAAAATAATTTAACAATAATATCATCCAAATAAGAGTAAAATTAGTTTATTATAGTGTTTTTATTAGCCATCATAGGAATTTCCCACTTAGCACGTATAGTGTTTTTATTAACCATAAGGCTGCTCTCTGGAGCACCGGAGGCGGCCCATTAATTTATAAGATATTCTCCCACTTAGCACGTATTTTGATATTCCTTTCTATTGACTAATAGTTTTCATCAAAATCTAATTAATTTTATTATATATCTTATTCAATTATAAAGAGTCATGTATTCTAATAATTTTGAGATGATAAATTGAAAAGAGATTTTGAGTTACTTTGTATAAAGAGCTAGCTAGATCAAGTATATATCCCTTAAACTGACAGAATAATTTTTCGATATTGAAAAATAATAAAGAGTGAGAATTAGCCGTGAGATATATTACCCAAATTATTTGATTCCGTCGAAGGATATATATACCAATTACAATGTTTGTCAATATGTTAAATCAAATATAATCGATTCTAAATCAAAGTTAATCATCAGGATACTTTCTTAATCTTGGTATGGATATAATAAGTTAATGATAATAGGATGAATGACTTTCTATTTTTAGTGTGAACATGATCATCTAATTATTATTAATTTCTAGATAGAAGTTGCCTTGGGCATTGTTTCATAGATAGTGTATGTTTCTAGTAAGATAGTTGACATGTTTACGAGTCGTTGTCTGTTCTCTATCTAGTGAAAATCTATTGAGTAGATTCTTAAGTGAACAATGAGCAGTTTTGCCATTCACATCATAAATAGTTGATGGTTATGATGGCATTAAAGATTACGAGGTTCTATTGACAAGGATTGGGTCCGATCATCACTTGACCGTCAGCAATCTTGCATGATAGGCCAGCATTAGGGGTTGCCCAACGCATTCCTTCCGATGCTTAAGTCAGTGAAAGGGGAAAGATAGTAGTGTAAGCTGTATGACTAGGTTAGTGTATAGAGAGTCCCCCCTCTCAGCGTGAGTTAATGAGTTCCTTTTTATACTTGATCCCTAGGCCTTTTATTGGTTGGCCTTGGATAAGATTAGCAAAATCACCTGATTATTCTTTGATCTTAATAAAGTAGGATGGTTATCGACACTATGGTGCCATTTCGAAGCTAATGACCTGAAACTCTCCATAGGTGTTGGCCTTAGTGGTAGATGAGTTTGTGTGGGGCAAAATCGTTTATATCAAATGTCGATCTACAAGGAGAACTAAACACTCCTCATCTCTTTCTACCTTTTCACAAGATTATAGTTATTAATGGTTCAGAGACAAGAGAGGATGAGAAAGGAATCGTAATCTCTCATTGTCACATATTGTATCTCGTGTATGTGTTCATGACCATTACATCATATAAACATCATGTCATTAGTCCCTATGAGGTCCCATCTATTTATAGACGAGAGTAGAGAGTCTATGATAAATAATTAAGAGAGTTCCTCCCATCAAGGGCACCCCCTAAGGAATCATACTATAATATAAACTTTCTTTCTATTGGCTAATATCCATTATCATAATCTAATTAGTTTTATTATATATCTTATTCAATTATAAAGGGTCACATATTTGATATTCTCTCACTTAGCCCATTAATTTATAAGATATTCTCTCACTTGGCACATATTTTGATATTTCTTTCTATTGACTAATATTCGTCATTAAAATCTAATTAATTTTATTATATATCTTATTCAATTATAAAGAGTCATGTATTCTAATAATTTTGAGATGATAAATTGAAAAGAGATTTTGAGTTACTTTGTATAAAGAGCTAGCTAGATCAAGTATATATCCCTTAAACTGACAGAATAATTTTTCGATATTGAAAAATAATAAAGAGTGAGAATTAGCCGTGAGATATATTACCCAAATTATTTGATTCCGTCGAAGGATATATATACCAATTACAATATTTGTCAATATGTTAAATCAAATATAATCGAATCTAAATCAATGTTAATCATCGGGATACTTTCTTAATCTTGGTATGGATATAATAAGTTAATGATTATAGGATGAATGACTTTCTATTTTGAGTGTGAACATGATCATCTAATTATTATTAATTTCTAGATAGAAGTTGCCTTGGGCATTGTTTCATAGATAGTGTATGTTTCTAGTAAGATAGTTGACATGTTTACGAGTTGTTGTCTGTTCTCTATCTAGTGAAAATCTAATGAGTAGATTCTTAAGTGAACAATGAGCGGTTTTGCCATTCACATCATAAATAGTTGATGGTTATGATGGCATTAAAGATTACATGAATTTTTTATTGTTGACTTTAACTTGATAATTAGAATACATATGTATTAGTTCATCAAATTTTATGATGGATTAGTTGTTTTCTAGCATTCATTCATGTATGTCGGGTCTTTTATAAAAAAATAATTTATAGTATTAGTTTTCTTATCGATGAAACCCTCCATATTCATTTTTATTTAGGTATTTTTATTTAGACAAAAAACACTCTTATATTTTAACTTATGTGACTTAATCATAGATATTATTTAAATAAATTATAATTTGATAATTAATTATAAAAATTTTTAAAATAAAAATAGATATTAATCATCTTCGATGCATATCTATTGATTTTAAAATGATTAGCATAGCTTTTTATATTTTTTTAAAAATTTTTGATATCAATTTTTTAATAGCTGATCAAGTCATTTTTAATAGAAGATTAAGGGTATATTTTTGTTCTAACTATAAAAAATAAACCCTAGATAAAAAAATAATAGTGCAAATTTTTTCTAAAAGAACACCTTTTATTATCTTTAGTTGGCACGCAATAAAAGTTGTTTCTCCCCTCAACAAACTAAAAGTTGACAAAGAAAAAAAAGACTCCTGCGGTCGCAGTAATCTCCGCCAGAAAAAAAAAATGTCGAACACGGTAACGCACTTCTAGGGTTTAAGACGCAGGTACTTCCGGCCAAAACGCGCTCCTCTATACGCAGCTACGCCACCTTCGCTAGGTTTTGGTAAAGAGAAGGAACCTACAAAGAAGAAGAAGAAGAAGAAGAAGACGATGACATTGATGAATAGGTCGCCCTACGTCTCTCTCTTGTCCAAAGCCCTTGCATTCGTCCCTTGCTGTCGTCCGGCCGATGCTGCCCTTTTTCTCGCAACCCATTCTTATTCCGCCGCCTCCGGTGCTCCAGAGAGCAGCCTTATGGCTGAATACCTGGTCAGCTACTGTGGCTTCCATCCTGATCAGGCGGCCAAAGCCTCGAAGCTCCTTGGTCGCGTCGAATCCCGCCACCAGCCTGACTCCGTCCTTGGCTTTTTTAAAAGCTACGGTTTTGACAACACCCAGGTGAAAAAGGTCATATCTGCAAACCCCCGGTGGCTTCTCCTCGACGTGGAGAAGACCCTGGCCCCAAAGTTCCGAGCTTTGCAGGATCTGGGCTTCTCCTGCTCCGACATCACCCACCTCGTCAGATCGAATAACGACGTCATCAGCGACAAATCCCAGACCATCTTGTCCAAGATCCAATTATGGCAAGGCCTCCTCGGGTCCAACGACTTACTGATGAACTTGTGCAAGAAAAACAGGAGGTTTCTCGGGTATAGCATCGAGAAGACGATCCAGCCTAACATTGAAATTCTAAGGGATTGCGGGATGACGGATCAGAAGCTCTCAATGATCCTAAGGCAATATCCTCTCCTCATAACCCGGAATGCTGAAACCCTGAAGGCGTTAATCAGTCGTGCCGAGGGTTTGGGAGTAGCTTGCACCTCAGGGATGTTCCCCTTGACCCTGACTGTGCTCCACAACGTCTCCGAGAATAACTTCAAGGCTCACTTGGAGTTCTTCGAGGGCTTCGGGTGGTCCGAGGATGATTTCCTTGCTGCATTCAGAAAGGCTCCTACGTTTGTGCAAATTTCTTTAAAGAGTTTGCAGAGGAAGTTGGAGTTCTTGGTAAATGAAGCCGGATGTGCTCCATCTCATATTGCACTTCGGCCAGATATTTTGTTGTGCAGTTTGGAGAAAAGGTTGATGCCAAGGCATCAGATTGTGACAGGCCTGAAGTCTAGGGGAGTTTGCATCAGTAACCTTAGTATGTCTACATACGTGAAATATTCAGAGAAGAAATTTGTGGAGAAGTTCGTCAACCGCTACAAGGAGTATCCAGAACTCATTGAGTTGTATAATGGAGTCCCCAAAAACATCACTGCATTTGATCGTGGAAATGCATAATGCATAGCACAAGCTTTTGTACCAGCAAGTTATGTTTCCAGGTTCCAATTTTCCACTATCCGCATAACATGATCTACAGTTTGCGACCAAATAATTCCTGCCATTTACTTCGTTTCTGTGAATGTAATATGAGTTTGGATGCTTACACGTAGTAAGAAAATGAAGAATGTTGAGAAGATTTGTGATGAAATTGCCGATAGAGTTAATTGCTTGTTTATAATCACTTGTGTAGACGCCACATAGAATTGTTATTCTTGTCCTATTTGTTTTAAGTCTACTGGAAGATATCAGACTTATGTAGGTTATTGGACACCTGAAGTTTTGAATTGATTTGACTTCGGATATTTGGTAATTTAGGTTTCGAGTTTTGGTTAATTTTTTCAAATGATAAGAAGTAGGATTCTTTTGGATGGTATGGTTGGATGCTTTGGTGATTTTGAGCTGGATGATGAGGCTTTTGATTTAGGGCAAGGGTTGGTCACCTTTTATATAAATTTACTAAAGTCCCTCCATTCCAAAACCAAACCCGAAACCCAAAAAAGGGAAATGAGGTTGGGTTTCAATTTTTTGTATATTTTGTTTATCAAATTTTGTTCTCTTTCTTAAGTGATTAGTTTGAACCACTTCTTTCTTCTTGCTGATCGGTCAATTCAGTTGAAATTTCTCTCTTTATAAATGCAAAACCTTAATGAATACCAGGTTTCCACCATGATAGTTTGAAGCTGACCGTCTTCTTGAGAATGAAGTTGAAACTCTTAGATTTATGAAGGAAACCACACTTTCCGTATTGCCAATGTTTTGTTCTCAATTTAAGCACTGGAATGTACAAGTTGTCCTTTACCAATTTAAGCATTTGAGTACGGGGGTGGTCTAAACTTCATGCACTTCAGCTCAGACAGGCCAACTCCATGTGGTCCTGCCTGTGAGACCAAGTTCCACGTGGCTGCCTAAGGTCCTGCCCATTAAGACTGCTAGGGACTGGTTTGCAATGTATTGAAGAAATGATTGTAAATTTTGAGGACTGAATTGTAAATCAATAATAACTTTTTTGGACTCTGTATCCAATTTGGATGATCAATATAGTGTTAGGTGCCTCATAAAACCTAGATTCTCTTTATGCTGACATGATGAAATTTTAATATGCTGTTATTAGATCATATTTCTTTTGGCAATCAATTTTATATTGATGCCTCTATTGTAGCCTATAATTAATATTTGTTAGAAGTGCCATGATGCATAAGTTGGACGCTTGAGCATGTGAAAGGATGTTGTTGCATGGTTGTGCAGCATGTTGATATATACATATATGGATGATTGAACAACATTGTCATGATTAGTAGGCAATTTTGAAAGGGATTAGTAGTCGTCATAGAAGCTTATAAGATATTCCTTGCATCCATAGAAAGACGTATTTCTACTGTTGCCGGGCACCACTTGATCCTAGTAATGGACTAATAGCAGGGAATGTGATATGAATTTAGTCTATAAGGAGGTTGCTTCATCCTGAGCAGTCGGACGAGTTCCGATGCAGCAAAGTGCACTAATGGATGTGCTTTTCTCATGATGAATTTGTGAGATCTTTTATTCTAAGTTATACTCTTTTTTCATTATTATTCTTATCTTTTGCTGATTGCATGAGACAACTAGATTTCTTGACATCTTGTTTCTACTAAGATAATCCCTATCGATCTGAAAATTACATATTTCAGATGATCCGTAGCTGGGGAACTATGGATTGAGAAGTGTTCGATTCTAGCAAGGTGAAGATTGTTATATGATATTTAATAAAAGTATAGTTAGATGTTTACTCCAGTAATAATGATGACACTTGATGGGATGTATTTTCAGTTATTGTCAATGAATATTATTATTGTGCTCTGTGCGTTACAGATGTCGGGATCATAAATTTCCGGAGGGTGCGATCCTCTCATTTTTTGGGTTGGGTCATATTGAGTGTTCAGTGCATAAAATGTTCTTATCAATCAAAAGTACTTGATTGTTAGCTCCATATGCAGGGTGTTTGGTGCAAAAGAAGCGGATTAGCAGTGATCTAGGAAATTGATATTTTAGTAGGTGTTACTGTCCAGAGGTTGTCTTGTATCGATCATAAATTGTTCTTATCAATAAAAAATACTTGGGGTGTTAGCTCCATTTGCAGAGTGTTTGGTGCAAAAGAAGTGGATTAACAAGGTTCTTGGAAATTGCTCTTTTAGTATGTGTTACCTTCCAGAGGTTGGCATCTGCAGTGTGCTAGTTTGATTACATTAGTAAGGATATGTTGAACAAATTGGAAAAGGAAATATAATTCTAGGAGTTACTTTGCTAGGGAGAATTCAACCATTGCCAGCCTTCAGGTAATGAAAGAGAAATGAGACTTGCTGACTTCTTGTAGGCCAATTTCCCCCTTCCCAAAATGTATTTTGTCCGCTGTCAGATGACACCAATTTCAGCCTTCCTGAAATGTATTTTACCCACAGTCAGACTGAAGTCAAGATATTTCTAACCGTTAGAATCTTTGGTTATATTTATGATATGTAGTTATACTGGTTTATGTACTATGAAAATCCACATTTCAACATTTTTGGCTTTTGCTACTATATGTTTCTTTTGCATCCTTTGTTCGGTGTCTTATTTTTGTCAAAGCTGTAATAGCTATCAAACAAAAATGTGATCTGGAAGTCTAGTTAATATGTCAAATTATGCAGGTTGTTTTTATGTTACAAACTTGTGCTTCAATGTGACAATAGGGCATCTCTAAATATATTGCCTAATGGCAACATGTAATCTCAAATTTGATTCCAGCCCTTGGTTCTCCAGATTCTTATATATGCTATTCTGTTGTAGTATAGCATGATAGTCTCAGCCATTCGTCCGATTTTTAATATTTTGGTGTGTTCCTTTTCTTAAGACTTTGTTGTTTTGTTGTCTCTGGACAAATACGTCAATATAACTTCCCTGAGGTATTGTAGCATGCTAATCTCCAGTAAATGTTGTATGTGTCCTAGTTCCAATCTTTTGCATTGTGCTTTTTCTTAGGTATTCATACATTATTGGCCTTGGAGAATTAACAGCAGTGTCTCTGGCAGGTAGGTACTTGGTTAAATTAAACTGAAGCACTGCTTACTCCTGTTGAGTTATCGGGATCAAGAGAAGTTTTAGATGACTTGCACCCTATCGCATGTTGATCATCGTAGAGATGTTTTCCTAACAAAGGCTTGAGTCGTTATCAGCGAAGAATTATACATGTACTGTACTGCCTCAGAACTAGCTGCTGGATAGGGTCAGGTTCTTTCAGTAGGAAAAGACTGATGCTGTTTGCAAGGCTTGATACTTTTTGTGGGGGATTTTGTCTCTAAAAGGACTGAGATCCTTTCAACTTGTAGAACTATATATGTTCTAGGATTTTATGCCCTCTAAAATTGCTTGCTAAACAAGATCAATTTATTTTTAATCGTTATTATCAGGTTTTGTTGGTAATGCGGTATCATCCCTGCTTCCCGAATTTAAGATTTCTGATTGGCAACATCTGCTCATTATGGCTTGCAATTAATGTTATTGTTGTGTGTTCAAATATACTCTAGACTAAGAAATGATATAGATCTGAGCATAACTTTTTGTAATTAGATCAAACAAAGAATGAGATATCTTGTTTTACATCATATCAAACTGAACTTTCTTTTAAATTTGTTTCCACCATATTGATGGAGATCAAGTGAAGTATGATGTGGAATTTATACTTTATAAAGACTAATGCACACAGCACTGCTGTTCATTTGACGACTTATCGGTTGTATTTTCTGAAAACATAGATATTGGTCCTGTCTGCAGTCATATCATTGTTCTTATTCTCATCATTGTTGAGAATATATAACCAAAATGTGCATATTCTGGCCATCCTTTTGTTTTTCCAAAAGAAAAGATAGAAAGGAAGAAACAGGTAGAAAATTGCAATGCCTTCTACATTGAATCTACTGAACTTTAAGAAAATATAAAAAGAGAGATTTCTTGAGATGAAAGCATCCAAACTCTAGCTAACTAGATTTTATGCCCAGATTCTTTTCCCCTTCTTTTGCTCCTATGAGATGCAAGTGAAGGGCAAATGGCATTCATTTCTTCACCGGATTTAGTTTCTGCAGCCATATTTTGCGGGCGCCAAATGGAATTTTTGGTCGTAGGCGTATATTCATGCTCATTGTTAAGTAAACAGGAGTTGGGAAGAGGGGAACTCTCTGATGCTGCAAAGTCTAAATGACCCTACAACTACAGCGCACAAATCAAGGAATTTGTTTGTCAGCAAAAGCTCTCTTTTATTATTATTATTATTATTATTATTATTATTATTATTATTATTATTATTATTATTATTATTATTATTATTATTATTATTATTCTAAATTATGTCTCATGTTTCTCCCTTCTATTTTGAATAATACCGAAAGTATCTCTTACCGGTCTCAATGATATTTTTCCCGCTAATTTCATGGATACCTTTTAGACCGATCTATAGGTGTGTGAATCCAAGTTGATTGATTGGTTTTGTACAGTAGCATGATCATTACTGAGGATCAAAAATTAATTTTTATAGTATTTTGATCATAATAATAAAAATATTATAAATGACCCAAATGGACTCGGTCAAACCAACTATAGGCTGTAATGATCTACGATCAATGATAATCAAAGATGAACAATTGAAAAATACTATTTTTCAATGGCTTTACACCTTACAAAAACACTATAACGTTATTTAAAAATACTATAACTGAGAAATCCAAACACACTAGAAATAATTTGATATATCATACTATGTATTTATAATAATTTAATAATAATATCATCCAAATAGGAGTAAAAAATTAGTTTATTATAATGTTTTTATTAGCCATGAAAAATATTGTAAAGCATACCATAAATAAACTAAACCTCAATCAAACTAATTACAAGCCTATAATGTTTAACCTTTTATAATGTTTCGATCATCACAACAAAAATACTATAAAATCTATTTATAAATATTATAAATCATCTAAATGGACTCCCAGCCTTAAATGATCAAATCTATCTATTTAGATTAGTGCACCATTTTGGATCAATATGCTCATGTTCGGAAAAAAAAAAAGGGAAAAATATTTACAATTTTTTTTAAAAAAATAAAATGTGAAGTTTTTTCATAAAATTGTTCAAGTTTTTTATGAGACCTTCCACATAGGATTAAAGAACGAGTACTTTTCTTTTATAAGATCATGGTGTTTATTGTTCTAACATGTTATGACATGTACAGATTCTTTTCCCAAGCTGGTATAACAATTTGTGGAACTAATTACCAACAAATCAGTAATGATATCTGACAACTGAAATTTGGTTTTGATGCATGCACACAACTCCATCAAATGCATATCAAAGCATACACATTTCACAAGTTATTAGCACCTCTTCCATCATTTTCATTGTAGAAATTAAATCTTTACTTTTTAATTCTGGGTTAGTCAGTTTAATCTCATCACCACAATGCTCCATCTCAGTGCACGGTTTAGAATGCTTACTTTATGATCAGTCTTTACATGAGTACAAATCAGTCAGGTTTCTTGGGTTAACGAAGTGTGCTTATGATCCTTCGTCTGTGCAGTACTTATCTTTTGTCTGCAAATAACCAAAGATCTTAATAAAGATGTCTGTCACAAGATATTGTGTACGTACGAAGAACTCCAAAAGGTACATGCTTTGTCTACGACTTGGAATTCCACAATAATCTAATGGAAAATCATGAGAAATTATTTTGAACTTTCTTAAGCATATGATATATCAACTCATACATCTCGTGTCTTTTATCTTCCTCGACTTAGATCTGACAACACACTAGAGATTACATACACAGAGCAAGGGCTTCAAATCCTTGTTATCTACTGGATGGATTTATCTTCTGATCCAAACGAAGTGGTAAATCTAACAAGTTAACCGTAATGAGGCATGTGAGTTTCTCATGGAATCTTATCTAACCTGAGCGTAATTATTGGGTATGTGGATGATGGTGTTGGCTTAACCCACCTCCAATCTCCTAGCACGCAAGGATTCGTTTGATCATCTCCTTTGCAAATGGCCATGGTTGGCGTTCATTCTTTTACCTCCTGTTCTTACTTTACGATTGAGGTTGAATTCATTATACTTCATTGGCAAGATGTGGGTTCAGCATCGATACTTTAAATCAAGGTAAAATATAAGCACTCATTTACCAATTCTTCACTTGGTTTTGCACAAGTTTTAGTTATGTTCCGCTCTTCTCTGCTGCCAAAATCTCAACTTAATTTGGCCATGTTTAGCTATTCTAGAGACAAAGAAAAAGCTTTTTAGGTACTTGGCTTTTTGGGACAACATAGAAACAGGGCAGGGTCCCAAAAGTGGTTTTTTGTTCCATTTACCTCTTTTGCTTAATTTACGGTTAGCTTTTGGATTGTAATAATGATTATTGTAGAGAGATGTAAAGGGTAGAAAGAAGAGGGAAAGAGGACACATAGCAAGTTCCAAGCATAAAATATATTATATGCTATATATTAATTTTAATATCGGGATTGAAATCAAATAAGATATATTAGATTTTATTACACACCTTTCAAAGTCATCTAAAAAATTCTCTATCTATGTAGGATCACCATCCTCATATTCAAATATTATAAGGATATTGATGGTGTCATGAGTACCATCGACTAATAACTCAACACGGTTGATCCACTATCGAAGGTGCAAGTTTACCCAGGTGCCTTTTCTTGACTGATGTGGGTGACCCGATGAGTGAGACAACATAGGCGGTCCGATCAGACATCGTTCTATTGGTGAGGACCCGATTCGGGATGATCGGGTAGGGGGTTTGGAGTCTTCTTGGTTGCGACGTTCTTCCCTGGGGTTGGGTCATCCATGTGTCCTCGAATGAAGGATTGTCTCGTGGTTGCATGGCTGCATCCTAAGAGTGATGTCGTCTCTTGGCCATTAGCAATCTTGCATGATAGGCCAGTATTGGGAGTTGCCCAACGCATCCCTTCCGATGCTTAAGTCAGCGAAAGGGAAAAGATAGTGGTGTAAGTTGTATAACTAGGTTAGTACGTAGAAAGTCCCCCCTCTTAGCTTGAGTTAATGAGTTTCTTTTTTATACTTAATCCCTAGGCCTTTTATTAGCTAGCCTTGGATAAGATTAGTTGAATCACCTGATCATTCTTTGATCTTAATAAAGTAGGATGGTTATCAGAATGTACTATGGTGCCATTTTGGAGCTGGTGACCTGGAACTCTCTTGTTGGCCTTAGTGGCAGATGAGTTTGTGTGGAGCAAAAACATCTATATCAAATATTGATCTACAAAGAGAACTAAACACTTCCCATCTCTGTCTACATTTTCACAAGACTATAGTTATTGATAGTTCAGTGATAAGAGATGATGAGAAAGGAACCGTAATCTCTCAATGTCACCTATCGTATCTTATGTATGTGTCCACGATCATCACGTCACATAAACATCATGTCATTAGACCTAGGAGGTTCTATCTATTTATATGCGAGATTAGAGGGTATATGATAAGTAATTATGAGAGTCCTCTCATCAAGTGCGTACCATAAGGAATCATATTATAATATCAACTTCCTTTCTATTAGCTAATATCCGTTATCAGAATTCAATCGGTTTTATTAGATATCTTATTTAATTATAAAGGGTCATATATTTTGATATTCTCTCACTTAACTCATTAATTAATAAGATATTTTCCCACTTGGCCCTATTTTGATACTTCTTTCTATTAACTAATATCCGTTATCAAAATCTAATTAATTTTATTATATATCTTATTCAATTATAAAGAACCATTAAAAACAGTCAGGTATTATAACAATTTTGAGATACAAATTGAAAAGAGATTTTGAGTTACTTTGCATAAAGAGCCTGCTAGATCAAGTATAAATCCCTTAAGCTGACAGAATAATTCTTCGATATTGAAAAATAATAAATATGAGAAGAAGCCTTTATAAATGTGAGATATATTATGCAAACTATTTGATTCCGTAGAAGGATATTCATAACAATTACAATGCTTGTCAATATGTTAAATCAAATATAATCGATTCTAAATCAAAAGTAATTATCAAGGTGCACCTTCTTAATGAGATGAATGACTTTCTATTTTTAGTATGAATATGATCATCTAATGATTATTAATTTCTAGATAGAAGTTGCCTTGGGCTTTGTTTCATAGTTAGCATATGTTTGTATTAATTCTCAGTAGCAAGATAGTCGACGTGTTTGTGAGTCTCTATTGGTTCCCTATACGGTGAAAATCTATTGAATAGATTTTTAAGTGAATAATGAGTAGGTTTTCCATTCACATCATAAATAGTTGATGGTTACGATGACATTAAAGATTACATGAATTTTTTATTATTAACTTTAACTTGATAATTAGAGTAGCATATGTATTAATCCA